GTGGTCACGGAAAGAGACGCGCGCGCCATTTATAATTACAAGCGGGAGCTGTAAATTCTGTTGGTAACACGAACATGGAACCACAACTATATAGTTTATCTGGATAAGACACAGGCATAGTTAAAATCGAACTTCACTTGGTAAGTTCGTTTAATTTTAAAAATATATTAGGTGTTGGAATTAATTCGTAGCGTTTTTAAATGAAAGAATGTTATTTATTTCACATGAGCATTAAAAAATACATTAATGAAAGTACTTCCCATCACTTGTAAAACGCTACGAATTAATTCCAACACCTAATATATATATATGAATAGAAGAATAATTACAATCTTCCTACATATATTACAAGTGTTATTACATGAAGTACATATTTCATATGTTTATTGCATTTAGTGCACTGAATCCAATCTGAGTACTTTGTATGTTTCGGGCATAAATTCCGCCTGCTAAAAATGCGGTATATCTCAAACAAGTAGGAGATATAAGAAAACAAACTAAACAAAGAATACAAGAGCAAAGCACTTGTATTTTGCTATACAACATGCTTTACTATTCTTCTACACTTATGTATCAAGAAATAATCGCTAAGTCTTTTACATGCTCTACAGTAATCATTTTATATAGATTATAATTTATGATGACGCTACTTATTACAGTGATAAATCGATTCAATTCACAATAATTTCATTAATATTGACAGTAAAAAACTGAAAACATAATACAATACTAATATAACATAAAGGCATGTATTATAACAGAACAGTTGCGGAAAAATTATTCTCACTCCTTTTATTTTTTTCTGACTTCTGCGGCATAAATGCCAACATGGCGTATTTGCCAGTTACCCTATATGATTATACATGTTTTTGAATATTTATGTATGTTTATACATATTTATACATATTCATGCATGCAAAATTTTTTATCGAGATATAATTTAATTTCCAGAAATTCACTCTGGTCGTCTAACCGTAATGCGAGCAACTTATTGAATTGTTCTAGAAAAAGACTTAGCAAAAAGATTGTTAAGACAATCTTCGCTTAATATTATTTTAATTTAAAGATTAAATTCTTTGTTAATTTTACGCATCCATGTCGACTCTTAAATACCCTTTTGTGATGTTTGAAATTATAATTGTATAATAAAAGTTCTATATAAATATATATTACAACACTTCATACATATAATCAGATAAGTCTGAGAGAATTTTAAAACATATATCTACACACATACTTTCCATAATTCTTCAAATATTACGAATGCAAAATTTTATTGTCTATGGAAAAAAAAACATTATTCTTATGTTATTCGTATATATTAAAGTACTACCGTTTGAAAAAATTAAAACTTTTAATTTTATACTGATAATTAAAATGCCTGAATTATGAAAATCTGACAAATTTTACAGAATTAAAAAAATAATCACAGCTCATGTAAACTTTTGTTAGTCAGACATGCACTCCATACTCAAACGTGATTTTTTTTTAATATTAATATAAACAAAGAAGATAAAAATTCAAGAAACAAGAAACTAAAAATTTCGTGATTACAATTATTTTGCGAAACATTTGGTTAAATTATTTGTTAATATCTCGTCAAGTTATCCTAGATTAAAAAATAAATCATGTTTTTACGTTAATTTATTGCTAAGAAAATGTAAGTTTAGCAAATTTTAACGCACGAAATCAGATACGCGCGAGCGGCCCTGTCTTTCCCACTCCATCGCGCGCCGGATTCCTCCACTCCGCCCGGCCCGCTGTCTCGCTTTTTAACTGTACAATGGTTTTAAACAAATTTTTTCAGCAGTAAAAAATTCGAGAATTTTTTAACAGCGAATTCATTCAATTCTTCCTTGACAAATTGATGCTAAATGGAACTTTTAGAGCCGGTTGTTCTTTTGGTAAATTTTATCTGTTCTGGGTAGCAAGATTATCAAATCACATGCGTGAATTATCAGACCTCACAGGTAAAATTTACTAAAAAATAGAATAACCGGCACTTAAAAATTAGAGCCACAGTGATTTTTTTTTTATTATTATCTCGGCTTCTAATAATCCAGAGAAACTTTTTTTTTAAATTCGTGGAAAAATATCAGCTATGGAATGCTTCATGGCTATTTGATATGATACATATTAACAGAATTATTCCATTTTTTATACGAAAAAAAGATACCCACTTTTCAAAGTATTTTAAAATGTTTAACTGCAAAAAAACTGTTTTGTTATTTAATGTATGTGATAGTGCAATTCTTGAAGAAGAAAAATCACCCTTGTAAATTGCGACTGTCCAAAGATGAAGAAATTAAATTTTCCGCAGACAGGTTTTTAGTGAACAAATGGCTTTTTGTAAAAACAAATGAACATTTCAGGCTCGTTCAGGGCTAGATTTTTTCATCATCACGAAGGCTACATTTTAGGAGAATTTCAAAGTTTTGCGTTTAAATTTCGATAAACACAGAGCAAGTGAAGAAAAGGCTTTTTTTGGTGGTTTTTATTTTTTTTCTACTTAACTAATATACCGATCTTAATGTTCCACGTCTCATTTTATAGGTATTTCAATGTAGATAGGTATACCTACATTTTTCATACTGAACTTTTTTCCATATAATCAATACCTTTCGTTTTATAAGCGAAAAAGATTTGTAACTAGTAAGATAGGAAAACAAGACCGTTTATGTTAAATAACATTACTTTAAATCCGAAGCGCCACTACGGTCTAAGTAAGATGTTGAACTAATATATATATTTTTCAAACAAATAAATTAATTTCAGAAATGATAATTACGTGTCGATATGGTTGTCGACATTAACGCAATTGATCTGAAATGTTAATAATTCCCCCAAAATTGCCCAAATTAATCTTAAAAAACTGTAATAATAAACTTATTGCGAAAAAATATTGCCTCGGCCGGGAGTCGAACCCGGATCTCTTGCATTCCGTGCAAGCGTCTTGAGCCTTTAGACTACCGAGACCTTAGCAATAATTTTTCGCAATAACCGATATCGAGAGTAACGCATTATTTCAGCGCGCGTTTATAAACAATAAGATAGGAAAACAAGATCGTTTATGTTAAATAACATTATTTTAAATCGCGCGACTCCCGGCCAAGGCAATATTTTTTCGCAATAAGTTTATTATTACAGTTTTTTAAGATTAATTTGGGGAATTTTGGGGGGATTATTAATATTTCAGATCAATTGCGTTAATGTCGACAACCATATCGACATGTAATTATTATTTCTGAAATTAATTCATTCGTTTGAATAATATATATATTAGTTCAACATCTTAATACTTAGACCGTAGTGGCGCTTCGGATTTAAAGTAATGTTATTTGTAACTAGATTTTTTTCGCATATTTCCTATACAAGTCTCGAGTCTCAAACATATGCATTTTTCTTGTGATGGCCTTCCGAAGATTTTCGTACAGAGAGATGTTGGTTTACAATTTTTTTTCAAAATGAGAATTTTTCAGTCTAATTCTACTGGACTAATGTACAGGGTGGGCCATCTATTGGTACGTTTTTAAAAATGCGATCAAATGAGCATACATTGATATTTTTTATTAATTTTTTTTTGTTGTGAAGCTAAAAGTATCCGCGTCAAGAATGAAAAA